ATCGAACCAAAGTACAAGGGGGCAAATCCGATGCCAGTGAGAGTACAAGGGGGTTAAGTGATATCTAGCCAAAGTAAAAGGGGTAGAGTGGAATTTACCCTTGATTTTAAACAGGCAAAAAAACGACGTCGTCTGTAAATTACAGCAAAATGAAAATACAATTAAATAGATGGGCCATTATTTTTCCCAGGCTCACATTTCACACAGAATTAAAGCAGAGCTTCGTCTTTCTGAGATCTGAAAGAGGTTCCTTTTCTTCCATATTTCATCACCACTCACACAAATTCATTATTGTTTTCACATTTTCCCTCAACTCACACTTTATTGGCCATATCGGAGATAGGTTAACTTGCTCGCCGGAGAACGAGTGGCGGGATTTTTCGCACCACTGTTTTCTGTTTACACTCCTTTTTTTTTTCCGACGACACAATTGACACTGTGCATTCATATACTGTACTTTTGCACAAGGCCGAAATAGTATTGCACCGGCATTGAGTGATTTCGAAGGTCCGTTGCTCTGTTTGCGTTCGAATTCAGGTTTTGTGTAAATTTTTTCGATTCAAATTATTGTGATTCTGTCGAATTTCTAGTACATTGCATACAGCTGTTAGTTTTTTAGTATAATATTTGGTGCCCTAAGTTCTCGATCATAATTGTTGCTTAATCGCAATTACTCGCTCATATTTGATCATAGTTTCCTTTATAACGATACTAACAACTGCAATACTTTTTTTTCTAGGTTTTGATGACTGTTGACGTAGCGGTTATGGATATGATGATCGTAAAGTGGCATTTTGGTCATTTACTAAGGGGATGAATAACAGTGTTTGGAGCCAGAAATAGCTCATCTCACATTTGTCGAATTCTTGAATATAACTGTTAGTCTGATTAGTTCAGCGGTGACAAGTTGGAGAAGTTGATAGTGTGGGCATCGCTGCTTAGTGACTTGAACAGGCACAATGATCAGCAGAGAACTTTCTCTAACATACCTGTATCTCTTAATATACATATTGCTGTCTTCAGGAGTTATTCTATATAACAAGGTATGTATTTTCTTGCTTAGTTACATGGATAAGGAGGACGGACTCATTGGTTTTTCTATTTATTTTTGGTGATTCTGTTTTATTTATTATTTTATTTATTAACTTAAAATGAGACTTGAGGATTTCAAATTCATTTTCACAAGCAGAGATCTGTTATAATGACCTTATAATTAGTTGAGCCATAAGCAGAGATATCCATTTCTTGCAGACATGGAATAAATAAATTGGAAGGAGAAACAATAAGAAAGGGATCAAAAGCTACTGATTATGCTTTATCCTATACGCAAGTGAGGAATCCCCCTATGTTTACAGAATTGATGGGCCGAGTTTCAAATATTTGGGGGGCCGAGTTTCAAATATTTGGGGGGCCGAGTTTCAAATATTTGGGGGGCCGAGTTTCAAATGTTTAGGAATCGATCATTCTACAGTCTATACATAGTTGAAACATAAGTTTATCTGTTATATTATTATATTTATTATATTTTGTGTCTGATTTTACAGTATCCATCAGCTCACATCTGTTTTACTCTTGCTTTTTGTATGTTTGCAGTGGGTTCTCTCGCCAAAGTATTTCAATTTCCCTTTACCGATAACACTTACCATGATTCATATGGGTTTCTCGGGCATGGTAGCCTTCTTTCTGATCCGTGTCTTTAAGGTAATTATTTTGAACTTCCTTCTATTGGTTCATATTATTTCCTCTTCTTACTGAAGTAACATTGTCTGTTTGGCCAACTCTTACGTGGATGACATTAGCTGATAGCTAAGACTGAAATTTGTGCTATCATTTCTCATTATCATTTGGATTTATTACTGTGCTATAATCTCTTCTACCTTCTACGCCTTTTTACCTTGTGATGTTTCAGTACTGTCTTGCTTCCTCATACTTTTATAGATACTAGTCGCATTTCACTTGTTCCTATATTCCTGACCTTTTTTTTTATTCAGGTTGTACCACCTGTGAAGATGACTTTTGAAATGTAAGAGAAGCATGCCTTTTTTTTCTAATTTACTTCATTTAGTGTGGATGCATGACCATGTATATTTACCTTGCAGATACGCGACATGTGTAATTCCAATCAGTGCCTTCTTTGCTTCAAGTCTTTGGTAAGTATAATGTTTGCAAATTGAAAAAAATCTTGCTTCTTTTGCAATTTTGTAATACAATATTAGGGGCATGTCACCAATTGAGAGTGAATCATCTTTGACCACTCATTGATAATCATAACACAATGTTTTTTTATCTTTGTCATTTTGATTTTGAAGCAGATGTCATCAGAAATTACCATCTCATACAGCCCAACTTTTACTATTTTAATTACAGAAAACTTCCAGTAAAATCTATTAAAGAATAAATGAATGGGTAGGTTATGGGTGTTTCTCTTGGAAAATATTTTCATCTGCAGTATCACAAATTCTTTTTTCAGCTTGTTTTTATTTTATAATCGGTTCTTATAGACACCACTTCAGCGACTTTCATGTCAGTCTAAATTTCCGTAGCCATATCCTTTCTTGATTATTAATCTGGATTTATGCTTATACAGGTTTGGAAATACTGCTTACTTGTTCATCTCCGTAGCCTTCATCCAGATGCTCAAAGCCCTAAGTATGCTAATCTAGTTCACATCACCTTATCTTCACGTTGCTATTCTCAAGAAATTTACTGATCAGATTTGTTAATATTTATACTTGATTGCAGTGCCAGTGGCTACTTTTGTCATGGCTGTTCTCTGTGGAACTGACAAATTAAGATGCGATCTATTTCTGAACATGGTTTTGGTCAGTTTTGGTGTAGTAATATCTTCCTATGGGGAAATTAATTTCAACGTAGTGGGCACAGTTTATCAAGTTACAGGAATATTTGCTGAAGCTCTTAGGTTGGTTCTAACTCAAGTTCTACTCCAAAAGAAGGGCTTAACACTTAATCCTATCACAAGCTTATATTACATTGCTCCGTGCAGGTATTCTTCTTCTTCCATGTTACACAGTTCACATACTCATGCATCAAGTGCAGTCTTATACTTTTTTTAGCAAAAAGTGTAATTTTTCTAGTTCTGCTACAGACTATCGACTTTTCCAAGCTGCTAACAATGCTTGTTCTGTTTTTTTTTTTTTTTTTTTTTTTCTTTTTCTTTTTTTTTTTTATGTGCAGTTTTCTGTTTCTCTTTGTTCCTTGGTACCTTCTGGAGATGCCCAGAATGGAAGTATCACAGATCCAGTTCAATTTTTGGATATTCTTCTCGAATGCACTTTGTGCGTTGGCTTTGAATTTCTCAATATTCCTGGTAATTGGTAGAACTGGTGCAGTGACCATACGAGTGGCTGGAGTTTTAAAAGACTGGATACTCATTGCCCTTTCAACTGTCATTTTCCCCGAGTCAATAATCACCAACCTAAATATCATCGGCTATGCGATTGGTACCTGCATTTTCCAAGTTTAACTTTTTTTTTTAATTAGAGGAACATTTAGCTCGAAGGTCAACCAAAATTATCATTGTCTCTACAGCCTTGTGTGGTGTCGTTATGTACAATTATTTGAAGGCCAAGGATGTCAGGTCATCCCAAAGTCCCGGAGCAGCAAAGGTAAAAGTTCTTGTTTATGAATGATCGGGTCTAATATTTCCACATCATCATGGCTTGTTAATTATTACAACGTAGTGATATTTCTGTTTCTTGCAAGGAAAATAATATTGTAGATGAAAATATTTTGTATATCCGATTTGTACAGGACCTTGCGAGTGAAAGGAGGTCATCCAATCTGTATGGTTTGGATGAAAACTCAAACAGTGGCATTGGAGGAAAGAATGTATCTCATCTAGAGGCAATTGTTGATGAAGAAGCCCCTTTGATTCCTTCTGCCAAGGGTCTCTTATCTAGGACGAAGCCCAGTTAGCAGACACTACAGTATGAACGAATTTTAGATGTTTTTTCCCCCCCTACTACATTTTTTTCATGATATTAGTTGACTTCTATCCGTGGAGTAGCTCTTTTTTGCCAAGTATTTTAGACATTTACCATGCGCAGTGAACAAAATATTTCGATTCATTGTACAAACGTAAAATAGCTTGAGTATGGAATGAAATAGTTGGTTCTGGAATGGCCTCTCTATCTCTCTCTCTCTCTCTCTCTCGTCTCTCTCTCTGGGTGCAAAAAATTCAAAAACGAACTATAGATTATAATGCATGAGTCGGGCAGAATCTGAACGCACAAAAGCCGTTACAATCCTACAAAAACAGAAAGTATGACGAGTCAACTCACGTAATAAAGCCTGCCAAATTATACAAGTTTCAACAATTCAAAGTTTGTGCAGAAAATTCAAAGTGCACTAAAACATAATCAACAAAAAGATGGATACACTAACACTAACAGCAATTCTCAGCTTCAAATACACGTTAAAAGAGATCAGACGGTCTAATCAAATCCAGACAGTGCGTGTCTATAAGCGCCAACAATCCAGCATTTAACCAAGAAACCCCACAACCCTACAATATATGAATTTGTCCACGAATAGTTCTCAACATCTAGCTACTAGCATCATTTCACCAACATAAACGATAAGATTAGAAAAATCGCCATTTTTTACTTAAATTTCACCAAGATATATCTGCTTGTCGCTGCTGCATGACCCAATAATAGGTTCGTTGGGATGAAAGACACACTCATTAACCGATCCAGTATGACCCGGAAGCTTATACAATATTCTCCGTGAGGTAGTGTCCCATACATAGACCATGCAGTCACTACTGCCAGCTGTCACTTTGCTTCCATCGGGCGACCAACTACACCTCAGCAAATTCTTCTCAAAGTTGTGCTGATGCCCTTCTAGAATCTTCACACATCGGTTCTGCGGTGCATATGGTCTCATATCCCATATCCGAAGAGTGCAATCCATGCTGTTGGTTAGAAGGTAGGACCCGTCTGGGCTCAACTGCATACCGGTAATCATATCATGATGACCTTGAAGCTTCATCACAGGCTCAGTCCTACGTAAATCCCACACCTTCACATCGTTGTCAATGCCGCCAGTGTAAATCTTGTCCGACGCATCAGAGAAACCGACAGCTGTAATCTGGTACTTGTCTGGAAAACTCTGTATGGAGCCCCTTTGACGCATATCCCAAAGCTTTGCAGTTCCATCGTCGGACCCACTGACAATAAGGGGTGGGCCCCTTCGGGCAGGACAGCAAGAATTCACGACAAACAAGTGACCAATCATCTTCTTGATCTGTTTGCCTGTCTCGACATCCCATGCTCTTAGTGTTTTATCTGGGCTCGTTGATATTATTTGTGATCCGTCTGTGTTCCATTGGAGGTCCAGTACAGCGTTCTTGTGCCCTCTCAAGACCATGAAATTCTTGCAATCGCTGTTCACATTCCAGAGAAAGATATCCCTATCGTGCGAGCCAGATGCTATTACGGTTCCTGCGGGATTGAATTTCATTGTGTAGACTGCACTTTGATGGCCCGACAGCAACATGATTGGTGCCTCTAAGCTTGACGTTCGCTGCTTTGCATTTGCTCCTGGTGGGGCGAAGCCGTGTGTGACAGTTGACAGCTCGGTTGGCTTTGGGCCAACTACTGATAGAGCACTTTCCACCTGCATGTTTGCTTCTGCTTTACTATCGACTCGATATTGGATTAGAAGATCTTCGCCAACTTGAACCCTGCATGCATATAGAACAAAGGATTCCATCAAGCTCAAACATGATATATAAACTCTGTAAAAACCATACTCATTCAGTAACATTTTTTTTTCAATTTCGAAGGTAATGTCTAGTCACAGAGTTTATAATACACTCAACGGTAAGCAGCAAACGAAATTGATGCATATAGATTTTCATAATCCAATTGACAGCAAAGTAAATTCTATATGTATCAATACGTATAGGCATATAGCGATTTGCATGTGTATAGCTACTTTACACTACAACCTTCAGAATACATGTCAACCGAAGAACTTTTCTTCAAGAGCCTACTTCAACTAGCCCAACATAACTTCCCATGGAAAAAGTCCTGGTTTACTATATAACATTCAATAATTGGTTTTTCATCGACTTTTACTGTTTCGACTCTTAATCGAAGATCTGAAAAGGTAACATTCCAACAAAACGTCATAAGCAACTGATTCAAGTCAAATATCCCAAAATCCACTTCAACAACTTAGAAAGAAAAATAAACACCGAAATCAAAATATAAAAAACTAAATCCGGATAAAACCCCAACCCAGACAAAACTCCAGAACAACCGTATCATAAAATCAGCTTCCAGCTATTGAAAAAGCATAGCAAAACGTGAAAATAAGACCAATCTAAATCGAACTTAAGACAAATCCAAAATCGGCATCATGGAAATCACAAAGCAGAAGATACTCTACTGGAGTATACGATGGTGAAATTAGTTACAATGTTACCTTCGATTCAGAGGTTGTAAAACCCTAGCCTAGGGTTCTTCGAGAAAGTGGTGTGTTGAGCTAAAAACTTACAGAAGATGGAGGGATCGAAGAACTGCTGTATGTTTTCTTTCGTTGTATGTATAGTTGGGCCGGGCCGATGGCTCTATATTGGGCTTTTGATTTTCTTTCTCTCGGCCCGTTACGTGAAAATCTAATTCCAATTTTGAAATTTTGAAAATTGGATTAAAATAAACTGCTTATTCCAGAAATTGATTTTGTTTTTTTCCGCGTGGAAATCGGAAGGAATCGTCATTTCATTATGAGAAACAAATGTCTTTACACTTACACTTTTACCCCTCCCGTCGTCGTAGAATTCCAAAAATGTCCTTCGACTCCGACGCCTCGTCGCCGTCGACGTCCGCCTCGGCGGCGGACGCCACCACCAGAGACTGGATTTTTCCTTCGTACACCTTCGTTCACTCGCCGCATAATATCCACAGAACCCCCAGGAGAAGAAGATTCTCCTCATACCAACCCCCGCCGCAGCAATTCAACCCCACGGCGTCGTTTCATCCGCGAGCAGCTGGCAATGAATCCAACGCCGTTAGCAGTTCCGTTTCCAGGTCAACGCCAGGGCGCTTTGAATTTGAGAACCACGAGAAGTCAACGACGCTGCTGGATGGCGGTATAGACGGAGGCGGAAGCGCAGGGGTTAATTCAAAGTCAAACGAAGCCGTTACGTCGGAGAAACGTGGCATTAAGGAAAGGAAAACGACGTCGTCGGAGGAAACATTTTTGGGGGTTTTGCGAAGCTGGTTAAGAGTTCGGTGGCAGCTTACTTTTACCGTTGCGGTCAGTTTCTCTTCGTTTACTCTGTGTGCGTTTCTGTGTTAATCTTTCTGATTGTGGTTTTGGTTTCTCTCGCCTTGCAGATACTGATAACGGTGTTATCTTCATTGGTACATACGAATTTTTCCTTACACAATGAGGTCACTGAATTACAGGTATGATCAATGATGAATGATGATCCTGTACGATTGTCTCGAATATCTCTTTCGATCTCGTTGGAGAGATATTTCTCCATATAGTGGATTTAGCGACAATGGAAATTGTAGTAATGTAATGCATGTCCAGACTAATTTGGTAATCGGTTAATTGCGAAAGAGCAGTTACTGTTTGTGCTTAGTTCTTTCGATTTTTTTCTTGTTTCGCCATTAGGGTTTGGACTCTAGATGGAGAAATGTTTGTAAGCATTTGTGTTGATTTCCGAGGATAATATTACTACTTTCATTTGATCCGTAAGTTGATTTAGTTGAAGAAGTGATGGCATCACGGGTCGAAGTTGTTTTCGAAAACAATTTGTTGAGTATAGATGTTTGCACTACTAGTTGACCATATAACAACTTCATCGTGCTTTTCGCCGCATGTCCGATTATTCTTTTACTTCTGTTATGCAGGACCGAATTTCCAAGCTCAATGTGAAACTCAAACTTTGCAATCTGTCGGACTCTATAGATATAGCTGGCGAGTTGTCACCACAGGATGTTTCTGTCAACAATTTTTCTAGCAAGAGCCTAAAAATTGCAGCATTAGCTATTTCGATCACATTTTTATCCCTCCCTTTCTTTGTCGTCAAGTATGTCAACTACGTCTCGAAGTCGAGAAGATTGTTCGACAATACCACGGAGGAAATCTCTTTGAATAAGCAGCTAGCATACAGGGTTGACGTCTTTTTATCAGTTACCCCATATGCTAAGCCTCTAGCACTGTTAGTTGCTACCCTGTTGTTGATATGTGTCGGTGGGTTGTCACTTTACGGCGTGACAGATGGCAGTTTAGCCGATTCCCTTTGGTTGTCCTGGACATACGTAGCAGACTCGGGTAATCATGCCAATTCCGAAGGCCTCGGTCCGAGACTAGTGTCGGTTTCGATTAGTTTTGGTGGGATGCTTATATTTGCTATGATGCTTGGACTTGTTTCCGATGCGATTTCTGAAAAGTTCGACTCTCTGCGGAAGGGAAGAAGTGAAGTTGTTGAAAAAAACCACACTCTTATACTCGGGTGGAGTAATAAGCTGGTAGGTTTTTAATTTATCGTCTTTTGTGCAAGTAGAAACATCACTGTATTTGACTGGCAGTTGTCTTATTTTCCAGGGATCGTTACTGAATCAACTTGCCATAGCTAATGAGAGTATGGGTGGAGGAATAGTGGTCGTAATGGCCGAGCGAGACAAAGAAGATATGGAGCTCGACATTGGTAAAATGGAGTTTGACTTCAGAGGAACATCTGTCATATGCAGAAGTGGGAGCCCTCTGATATTAGCTGACCTGAAAAAGGTACGGTGTTATGATTTCTTTCCTTCTTTTTTGCTGTGTGTAATTCTTTTTTGTTTTATGATATACCAAAAAAGGAATTATATATTTGTTGTAATACACTAACCGGAAGAGGTCTCCTAGGTATCCGTTTCAAAAGCTCGAGCAATAATTGTCCTTGCCGACGATGGAAATGCTGACCAGGTTAGTGAAAAAGAGGACTCAGAGCATCTCAACATTGAGCGATAATAGTTAGTTAACTATGTCGATTTTTGTTGTGGATGCAGAGTGATGCCCGTGCATTAAGGACGGTCTTAAGCCTAACAGGAGTGAAAGAAGGATTGAATGGACACATTGTAGTTGAATTAAGCGATCTTGATAACGAAGTCCTTGTGAAACTTGTCGGTGGGGATCTCGTTGAAACTGTTGTTGCTCACGATGTAATCGGTAGGCTGATGATTCAATGTGCTCGTCAGCCAGGCCTTGCTCAGGTCAGCTTTTTATAACTTTTCTTCAGCTTTTGTGCTGTTTATTTATTTATTATATTCTATGGAATTGGCAGTGCAGATATGGGAAGACATTCTTGGGTTTGAAAATTGCGAGTTTTATTTTAAAAGGTGGCCGAAGTTGTATGGAATGCAATTCGAGGATGTGTTGATTAGCTTCCCGGAGGCCATTCCTTGTGGGGTGAAGGTAGCATCACACGGTGGAAAAATTATTCTAAATCCCGAAGACAGTTATGTTCTGCAAGAAGGAGACGAGGTTCTTGTTATTGCGGAGGATGATGACAGCTATGCTCCATCGGATATTCCCATGGTGCTTTTCTTTTCTTTTCTTTTATTTTATTTTCCTTGATAAGATGTTAGAAGTTCTGCTTCTGCATAAGTAACCCATGTTAGTTATCTTATGTTAGAGGTTTTATTTTTTGTTGGTTCTTGCGCCAAACGAGAAAGCCATCTCTTTGTTAAGTAACAACACGTCGAAATAACTCCAAGATGATGTAAATAGTTAGTATGAGCTTCGGCATCGATGATTTCATTTAATTATCTTTCATTCAAAGGACGAGCTTGCGTAAATTAGGTTCCTTCAGAAAGGAAGTGTAACCGAATTAAGTTAACCAAAACGAAGAAAACGAAAAAAAAAGAGGTTAGAGGGTGGGCTGTCCACTGTTGAAAGAAATGGTGTAGGTTCGTCCCTACCATGGAGTTCAATTGAGTGGGGCATACCATGAACCAAACTTACAGACACAAAATTAAATTTCGTTATTCAGGTCAAAGATGCCAAATTCATACACATTACCCGACCGACAAGAAAGCCTCAGAAGATTCTACTTTGTGGATGGAGGAGAGACATTGATGATATGATTGTGGTAATTCCGAGCCCCTAATTCCTCTTCCTCTTCAAATGGTTGATGCAGGTTTGGACAGGAAGTTTACCCAAAGACGAACTAGTTCACAAGTCTTTCGAGAAGATACTTCTATGCGGTTGGAGGAGAGATATGGAAGATATAATAACGGTAATTTTGTACGAAAATGGTGAACAATGCTTCCAAAGACTGTTCAGATAACCCTCTTCGGTCACTACCATGCGTGCCTGTGGTCTTTCAATGAATATCGAATCCGACTTATTTCGTTTTCAATTCCTTCCAAATTTTGCTGCACGTTGTCTTTTCGGCATCAGAATGAACTTTCTTGAATGTGCTTTTTTTTTAGGTACTGGATGCTTTTTTAGCAGAAGGGTCGGAGCTGTGGATGTTCAATGAAGTTGCTGAGAATGAAAGAGAGAGAAAGCTTGAAGATGGTGGACTTGACATCGACCGTTTGGTCAATATTAAGCTCATTAATCGAGAAGGAAATGCTGTCATAAGGCGTCACCTTGAAAGCCTTCCATTGGAATCTTTTGATTCGGTAAAGCAGCAATTTATCTGAAACCCGTTGATGGAAAATGCTTTTAAGATAGCTCGAACTGGTGAAACTATGAATACCGTAAAAGGGTCATGTATAACG